GTACAACGAGAAGAAAAAAACGGAGTGACTGAAATTTTGGCCTAAACAGGTGCCCAAGCTTAAGGTCGGGCACTCACTTGGCCTTGATTTTGTTTACTCGAGGCCAAAACTTTGGCTTGGGAGAGAGCTCGATTTTGTACTGTGCCCATACAATTTTTTTTTTTTATCGTTGGATTTGAAATTTTGGTCCATTTTTTGGCGCATTTTCATGAAAATTTATCTTTTCATGAACTTTTGAAACCTTTTCGTGATGCATAAATGATAATCCGTATATAGGAGATAGATTTCATTCTAAAACACCATGAATTCATCAATACATGAGATCATTCCTCATAAAAAGAATATTTTACAAAGCTTTCTATACATATTCATTCATTCAAGGGTTCTTCATGTTCTAAAGAGAAAACACAAGTGCTTAATGTTTATTTTGTTTTAAGATTTGTTAAATCCTACGGACATTTGTCATGAGTTCTTTTAAGCATCAAAATCAATTTTAGAGGGGACAAATTTAGTTTGAGGACAACGATTACTCGTTTGAGCCATTTTTCAGTGTTTGCTACTTCTATCGGTTCTCTTCTCCATTATCCTAGAAGGATTTATATTCAAACAAAATCTAAGAGAATATTAGTCATCAACCGATTGAGTAACTTGCAAGAATAAAATAAAACAAAAGGTACAGATGGTAAGATAGAGGGTCTTGAGTTGAATTTTGTTATTGTTTTGTTTTTTGTTGCAAACTTTTCAGACCTTCACGGGGAAAAAGAGCGTTGTTTGGAATGCATTTAGTTTGTATAAAAATTAAATTTTTAGTAGATTTTGATAAAAGTTGGCGAAATCTATGATAAAAAATAAATGAAGGTTGTGAGTCTCATGGAATGTGTGATTGAAAATGAATATGAAAAAAAAAAAAAAAAATTTAAGAAATGAAGGATAAGCTAGGGCATAATTTACCTTTTCAAACATAGATTTGTTCCCCTGTGTTGTCTAGTGTCAGAGTAACAGAGTTGGCCGGTAGATGGTCTCGCATGAAGTTCGAAGTGTGGTGACTTAGATGATTCAAAGTATGTTCGGGGTGGCTTATGTTAGTCTTCCTTTGGAAAGTAATGATTGATAAATTAAATCAAAATCTAACATTAATTTTAATTGCATATTTATAACTCTATTTATTATTATTCATATATTTGTAAGATACACTATAATTCCTCTTACTATTTATCTTTATAAACAAATTATAAATCTATCAAATGAAAAAGCAAATTGACAAGTGCACTTCATACACTTATTTAGATCGTCAAAACATAGATATTTGTTGATATTTGGATGTAAATGTTGGAAAAAATAATGGTGAATCAAAGTAAATAATCAAACCGAAGGCCCGTGTTCACACGGTTTCCTTAAATCGAATTCGCCGCCTCACCGGGGTGCACGAGGTTTTTGATCGGTGTTCGATTCCCAGGATACAATCGGTTATCGGTCCACGTTGCACTACGTTACCGACCTACGA